GTAGAATTACTCTATAGTGAAATGAACTATGAAACTTATGTTGAAATATACTTTTTACATCATATAAGAATATATGAGTGATTAAAATTGATATTTTGTATATTGATATAAATGATATTTTCAATGGAAAATCAGTTTGGAATTGTCTATAATCTATATGACTATGAACGCAGAACTTGGATTGTTGGAATTAGTCCGACTAGTATTAATATACTAGTCGGGCATTAAAGTGAAATATTGCTAGAATTGATCCTAGAGTTGGATTGTGAAGTGTTATGCCTTAAGTAGTCTTAAGAGATGCTTTAAGGTAGGAATCTATGAACTTTAAGTTATACTAGGGGTAGGCCTTCAAGGATACCCGAGATAAATTGAATAATAAATTGATCCTAGATATAGGATTGGCCTACGGGTGTGTTCGGTAGTCTTTGGGGATAGCCGGTCGAATTATGGTAATAAGTAAGGACCATGGCCCTTCCCGACTCTAGAGAGCGGGATTGGATAGCACGGACTTGCAACGTGATCACGGGTTAAGGTGGAATCCGAATCGGAGACCTAACTAGGCTCTGACAACGGTAACACATAAGATAGGAACCCGAAGGGCCTTACCTTCCTACAGGATGAGTGGTATGAGTCCAGGGGCGGGATGTTGGAATCTGAACCGATGACTTTATGAACCCTCGGACAGCGGTAGCAAGTCCCGTAGAAATAGTAAGACCTACGGGTTATGTCGTGGAAACGATGAATGAAATGGAAAATAAGAAGGGGTCATGTGCCGACCAATTAATGAATCAACTTATTATAGAGATAATAAGGGGAAAATATAAATTATTATTTATATTATGATATAACCCTATTTTGAGGGTCTTAGAAATTAAAACATTGATTATATTCGGTGTAGTTGTCATTGTACTTTTCAAATGCTTCAAAGTACTGACCTCCTTTTTACGGGGAGGCCACCTCACAGTTTCAAGTAGAAGTTGAGCTTACTACCAATACTCGTTGCTTCGAGGGAGGATCCAGGAGTGAAGACGTGGTTCGTGCTTCCTTCGTTTCTGTTTTAAAAACAATTACATTAATGCTCATGGATATTATTTTCTGAATAATTACTTGGGGGCTTGTATGCCTAATTATGCCAAGTGTGGATGTATTTTAACAACCGCAGTCCGACTAATCCATACTATACAAGGCGTCTTGAATACCATTCACACATAGTACATCCATAAACAATCATAATGTAAAATATTCATTTAAAGCAGCGGAAACATTAATACAAGTCCGGGTAAGTCCGGGGTGTGACACATTAAGCCATCCACTCACCTCGAATGAGCTTTATAAAGTTCTACCCTCCTCAGTTGAACTCCGGCAAAACTCCGACGAACTTTGGATGAACTCCGGTGATAACTCCGGTGACCCTTTCAACTCCGTGAAAGCTCTAGGAATACCTTAGACAAGTTTCTAACAAGGTTTTATCATCATAAAACCCATATCAATACAAATAACCTTTAAAACGTTATTTTCTGGCGAACCGGTCACTTTAGCTCCTAATTCCGTTCTTGGACTTGGAACTACCTTCTAACCCCTCATTCTACTTTCTAAACATGTAGAACAATCCTAGGGTTCCACCATATGCTATGTAAATCATATGATAGACAAAAAGTAGAGGAAAAGTTATTATGAGTTCATTACCTTAATCCTTCACACTTTTCCTAACTTTTTCCTTCTTTAATCCACCTCCTTGGACCTCTATTGATTGAGCTCTAATTGCAGCAATGGAGAATGGTTTGAAGAGCTATTCTTCCCTCTTTCTTGGTGGCTTGGTCGAGTTCAATGATGAGGATGGCGGGATAGGTTGATTTTGTCTCATTTAGCCAATGAAAAAGAGAGGGACCCATTTGGTGTTTCTAAATGTCTCACCATCCCATCAATTGAACTCCTAGCTCTCATTTAGTCAATTTGAGCACACAAAAACGTGGGGTGGCCCCCATTCATATGGACAGTCATCCCATTATGTCCCAATGTGCACAATTGGCCCCGAAAGTTGTATTTCTCGGACTATTTTAATTATATTTTATTTTATCGGGCCAAATAAAATATATCTGTTGGGTTATGGTCCAACAAGGATTTGTCCATAAGCCCTAAGGGGCCACACTACGAACGTCCCCGGAAACACAAACTAACAGGCGCCGTACCTAAGGGCGGATGGGTTAATGTGACTTACGTCGTCAACAGGATGTCAAGGCCCAATCATACATTAAGGCGACATACGTCCCCAACAGGATGCCAAGGCTCAATCATACGTTAAGGCGACGTACGTCCCCAATAGGACGCCAAGGTCCAATCATACATTAAGGCGACGTACGTCCCCAACAGGACGCCAAGACCTAATCATACGTTAAGGCGACGTACGTCCCCAACAGAATGCCAATGCCCAATTATACTTTAAGGCGACGTACGTCCCCAACAATACGAAGACCCAGAGGACGATAGGCGACAGAGGACGCCCGTTAGTTATGGTACGAACGTCCCCATAGCCCAAGCCAACTGGGAAGTCTTTCCTTGGGTCGTGGCGAGGTTCGTCCCCAACAGGACCAGCCCACATCATCAAGGCCAACGGACAGCGCGAGACGTCCGTCCGACACAGCAGAGCACATCAAGCAATAGTCACATCCTGATTGTTGATAGGAACAACACGGCGGATGCAATGTGTACGGTCTACTTCCTTATGTCCCGCGCACGCTCGGAGCATCAGAAGTGAGAGCATGGAGGTCTCAGAAATATCGGGTGGTCCTCGCCCCCGATGTGGGTCCCACGTACACTTCACTGTTCACGCAAAAGTAGTAACAAAAATTTACAACCTCGTAAATTCATTAACTATTTCATAAGGTCCCATACATGATTTACATAAAGGTAAATATATTTGGGGACGGTGTTACAAGTAGTACTATTAATGGAAAGCTAATCTCAAGTACTCCATTTATTATTTAGATTTTTATTCTACACTAAATCATTCCAATCTCAAGTACTCCATCTTTAGTACTCCATTATACTAACATTTGTTATTCTACGGTCAATCATTCCAATCTTTGCTCTTTAAAACTAATAAAAATAAGTAGGTAGATAAAAATAGTAAAATATTAACATTATTAATATTGGTTCCGGTTTTGAACTGGTTTAACAAGTTTGGTTCTAGTTTTAAACAGGTGTTTTCTAATTTTACGGGAATAGCTAGCAGGTAAGCCAAATTAACGGGATATTTCCTAGGCTTTTTAAGAATGAGGGATTCAGAAAGAGCAATTCCGATTGGAATCATGGGCTGAGGTAAATTGGGTGGGAGGGAAAGGGGCAAGGTTAATGTAAAATCCCGTTTTTCTTTTAAGTGGTTTAACTTTTTTATTTGTACTCTACTTTTAAAAAAATATCAAATTCATAATTTTTTATGATCTTTCTAATGACATTAATATTCCATATATATATATATATATATATATATATATATATATATATATATATATAATTTTTTTTTGAAGTTTTAACTGTAGATTTTTTTCAGACCCAAAAAAATCTTTAGTAGATAAAAATGTTAAAACTAAGATCTCATTGTTAAAATATTTTTTAACATGTTTCAATTATTTAAAAAAAGACTTATAAGTTTAGCATGTGGATCTATTTCAGAAAAAATTTGAACCTCAAACCTCCCACTCTTGAAACTTCAATTTTTATTACAAAACTTTATATATGTAATATTGGTGTCATATGAAAGGTCATAAAAAATTGTGAATTTGATATATTTTTTGTATAAATTTGAGTACAAATAAAAAAGTGACATCACTTAATAGAAAAATGAGATTTTAGATTAGCATTGGCCCCTACCTCCTCCCCGTCCCGGCAATTGCGGCCCATCATCCCATTCAGAATTGCATTTCCAAATCCCGTATATTCATACAATAAAGCGAAGTCTCGTTTTTTGGAATGAGTCACAAAACTCCCGTGTTTTTGGAATTTCCTCGTTCTAAACCGTAATATATCTGGTCTGATTTCCGGTTTTCTGTTTTTTTATAATATCCGTTCCGGTCCGATTTTTAACTATGCACACCCCTAGCTAATTTGCTTGGATGGAGGGCTAGGTTGGGTGGGACGGGTGCCAATTTCGCCCTATACTCATTTGAAGATTGTACCAAATCCATTTCTAAATGGCAAAGGATAGATTAAAAATCCTTTGTACTCGATTACTGGACCACCTCCCCATACTGGGTTGGGCTAGGTCTACATCGTGACAACCAGATAAAATCGCTCATTGGTCCATCCCGCCCAAAGATGGCATTTGACCCGCCTTGTCTAGCTACTGCTAGTCCGTCTCGAGAGTAGTGTAGTCACAAGTAACATAAAACCTTTTAGTAGTCATAAGTAACATAAAACCTTTTAGTAGTCACAAATTTTTATGTAAGAATTTTTAATTTGAGAAATTGTCCTAAATCGGTAAAAATATTTATAATTTTAAAATATGAATACTAGGATGTTTTTAATTGGACATAAACTTTCTGATCTGGCCTGGCCTGTACTGGTCTAGTATGATCTCGTAGATATCTTGTCTCTGTGTATATTATAACTGTTCAAATCTGATTTGGCCTGGTCTGTGTTTAAAAACAATCCAAGTAAAAACGTCCTTACTACGGAGTAGTATGTTTTTATTTGTAGAGTAGGAATAGTTAAATGCTTGACAAATATGTAATGTTTTTAAAACCCGATAATGTCATAATATGACACCAAGAAACATTTTTTTTTAATTTCACATTATTTTTACTCTTAGTTTAGGAAAATATCCCTATATATTTTTATAGGTAGATTCTATGGTACCCATAAGATACCATACATTGTTCACATGGACCAATGAAAATGTATCAGTTGAATTATTTAAATCTAAATTAAAAATGATAAAGTGATGTTGTCCAATTAAATGAATAATAGGTACGATACCCCATTTTTTAGAAAGGTAACGGAGTTGTCAACATTTTTATACTCGTGTTACTTAAATTACCTTATTGAAGAGTTGAAACATAATGCCTAAATTTAGTTCATATAATAGTACTCCATATAATACAATCTTCAGTCATTGGTATTACAATATACCGAGTATAATATGGACTTTTATGTATAAACAGAGTTATTCAAAAAACATCAAGATAGAATTTGTGGTGTGTTTCATTACCAGCATACATTGTCTTGATTTAGGTCAAACCATACTTGCCTGAAGGCCTTGATGATGATGGCATGGTAATGGTCACAATTTAATGTCAAGTAACATGCCAACAGCTCTTCAAGCTCTTCTGGCCTCTTGATCCCAATCTGAGTGATCATCTCCATCATTGAATCTTTGAAGTCTTGCTCTGGGTCAAATGAACTCTTGACCACAGCAAATCTGTCAAAGGCTGTTCTTTCACACTTCCCTTTTTGTCCCACACTCTTTTTTCTGATCTTCATCTTTCCCCTCTTCATGTGTTCCAAAGCTTTGATCTTGCACTCACTCCTTGGAGAATAAGCAGCTCCCACTCTGAAACTCTCATTTCTCCTCTTTAGCCTTCTCCTCCTTCTCTGGTTATACTCTGTAGGAATAAGATGCACAGATTTATTGCTCTCTTCAACCTCCTCTGAAGGAGCTCTTATTTTCAGTTTGGGAAGCGTTGGATCTTTCTGGGATTTTTCTTTAGTAAAAGAGAGACTCCAGAAAGGATCATCATCATCAATATCCTTTCTGGTATAAAACCTTCCTTTTGCCTTCAATGGAGCCGGGGAAGGAAAATCTGGCTTCTTTTGATTGAACTTTGAAAGCCAAGAAACTGGAAAGACATGAGTGATCAGAGATTGATGAGACGAAGAAGCTCTGTCTTTTTTCCCTTTCATAATAATAATTTCACAATCACAGGAAATTTGAAAGGTTTTGGGGACTTTTTTTGGGTGAAAAGAGAAAAGCGGGAGGAAGAAGAAGATGGTGGGGGCGGTTAGAGGTTAATGTGAAGGTGGGTTTCATACTGGTGAGGAGACTGGAGTGGAAAAGTGTTTTTTTTTCTTGCTTTTTTTCCTTGTTATTTTTATTTTTTAATATGACTAACTGCTTTTCGTGGAACTGTTTATTTCGAAAGTAATGCCCGCGTTATCATATGATCACTTTATAGATTTTTTCCCAACCGAAATTATTGCAAACAGATCAAAGTAGGAGGTGTGTATAATTAAACTAGAGAAAAGGGGCAAATAAACCCCTGAACTATTTGCGTTGTTGCAGTCAGATCCATGATCCGGAAGACTTGCAGATACACCACTCAACTCATTGAAAACTAAGTAATCAGTACCTTTTTACTTGCGGGTGTCGGTAATTTCTCATCTCCTTACCTGCACCAGCAGGTAAAAAAAGATTTGATTACTTAATTTTCAACGAGTTAAAGGGTACATTTGCAATTTTCCAATTCAAGGACCTGATTGAAGAATTGTGAATAGTTTGATCAAGGGCTTATTTGCCTCTTTTCTAATTAAACTATGGTCTATGTATGATCATCCCAGCCATTTCATTCTAAAAAAAATAAAACTCTTCAATTATATTTGCACTAATTGAATAATCTTTATTTGAAAAATGTGTTATACTCCGTATTTAAAAAAAAATACATTTAATTTGTGCGTGATACAATTCAATTGGCTTGCTAGTTGATTTACAGCATGGATGCTGTCTGTGTTCATCATCGAGGGGACCAAGTGGCTCTGGACTTCGAGGTAAAGTTGCAGGTTAATTGCATAAGGAGTACCTTTTTCACTCTTTTACTTTCTTGTCCGTTTTTGTGTACATGCATGGGCGGTGGTAAGGAGGAAACTCAGGTCAATCGACCTCAAGTTGGGTAAAAATTGATTTTAAGTTGAGAAAAGTGTGAAATTGACTCTTATATTTTGTACCGAAAGTCAATTATGTCCCCGTACTTTAAGTTTCAGCAATTATGTTCTTCTACTTTGAAATTTTCATCACTTTTAGCAGGTAACCCACCGGCGAGCAGGTTACCTGCTTATGTGGCACACACGTGGCCTGACACGATGCACATGTGGCACACACATGACACGCATGGCGGGTCACGCATGGCCTGTCCACCTTCTTCTCCAGACATTGCCGGCATGAACAGTAACGCCAAAAATGGCGAGTATTTGGAAAATTAAACTAAAAATATGAGGAGGTGTGCCTGCTCACGGCGACCTCCTTCCCATATTTTATTTTTTCGGACGAGCCTCGAAAGCTCCTGGAAAAAATGGCGGAAGTGTACGGAAAAGTGAAGTTCCGACCAACGACAAATCAGGCCCCAAAACTCGTCCCCAACGGCTCAAAAAATGATATGGAGCACCATTCCTAGCAAATGAACTCCAATTTAGTTTCAAAATGTAATAAATAATCGTCCATGTTTGAATTATGAGCAAAAATCGATCTCCAGCTCACCGGATGAATAGTGTTTCTTGCAGGAGATATGAAATGGCTGGAGGATTTTTGCATTGGAGGAAGAAGACGTAAGGGCTGGGAAAGGGGAATGGCGAAAGAGAAAAGAGAAAGGAAAGGAATAGAAGAAGGGAAAAGAAAAAGGAAAGAAAAAATTGACGTGGCCGCCGCGTGTGTGCCACGTCACGCCACGTGTGCGCCACTTCAACAGGCAACCTACTGACCCTTGGTTACCTGCTAAAAACCGGTTTTGACGAATATTTCAAAGTAGGAGGACATAATTAACAAAACCTAAAGTATGAGGGCATAATTGACTTTCCGTATAAAATACGAGGGTCAATTTGACACTTTTCTCTTTTATGTTTACTTACTAGTATTTGTATAAGAAATTAATCAAAATAGGACTTGTTGTGGTTTAGTCCCGAATGACCCGAAGATCCAACACTAACCTTGGATCTTGGGTTGAACTGCTACAGTAATGTATATAAAAGGAAATATAAAATCTGCTTTAACTATTCAAATAACTCAGCTTGTATTAGCACAGTAAAAAAAATTACACATAAATGACCGAACGGTAGTTACGGTTTAAAGGCTAATATGAGAGCTAGAATATAACATAAGCTTATGAGTCAATGAAATCCAACCCTTAGACTGATTTAACAACTGCTATTTATACTAAATGGAGACATGTAGCGCCCTTATATGATTGATTGCTTTCCATGCCACTTGAGATCCTCATGATCCAGCATTAACTGCAGTCAGTCGCATCCCGTTCGGGTGGTGCAGAACGGGTGTTGCCTTTAAGCAGACCATTTGGGCTCAACGATCTCTTCCTGACTATCCTTTGTATTTTGGACCTTAAGAATGTGCCGAACTCCCGTTCGGGATCTATGACCTTTGGGCTTTACTTGGTGCCTGGACTTCTAGGGATATTTTGGACCGCCATATTGGGCCGGACCTCAATATCCTATCAGGACTAAAATATGAAAAAAGTGTAAAGTTATGACTAAGTACTACCTCCATCTCAAAAAACTTTGTTATCTTGTAGAATTTTGACTATGATATTAATTAGAGAAAAGGGTCAAATAAGGCCTTCTACTATTATGAAATAGTCACATAAGACCATGTACTCAATAAAGTGTCATATAAGTACATCTACTTCTAAAAAGCAATCAAATGAGTCCTAATAACCTATTTAACACCTCTTAATCCCGGTTTCAACGTACTTCTAACCATCTTTTTAGAATACATCATACGGCATATGTCGAATATTTAACCAAGATTGGTTGAAATACAAGTCAAAAAAATCGACATGTAACCTAAAATACGGATTAGGAGGTGTTAAATAAGCCGTCAGGACTCATTTGATTGCTTTATACAAGTAGAGGTACTTATATGACACTTTATTGAGTACATGGCCTTATATGACTATTTCATCATAGTAGAAGGCCTTATTTGACCTTTTTCTCTATTAATTAGTACTTCGTATAATACTAGCCCTGCCCTGAAATTGAGTTCCTACTTTGACTTCACGACTATTAGGAAGATAGAAAATAAAGTATTATGAAAGTAACACACATCAATTCAATGAAGTGATGTGAGGGTAAAATGGTAAATGAATAATAAAAAACTTACTAAATATAGAATGAAGTTGAAGTGGGAACTTCATGTGATGGATTATTATGGAACCTAACTCATAAATTTTATAATTTAATTTATTTTATGAAAGTAATTTTAACAAAGAACATTTTCATATCATTTCTATATTGTAAATAATTTTTCAATAAAAATATATAGTTGATCAAATTTTAACGATGACAAAGGTTTTTTAGGGCGGAGGTAGTATGTTTTATCTCGCAAATCGGACTTATGTAGTCGTACTAAAGAATAGTCAATAAACACTTCCAAACTAAGAGTAAATGAGTCCTATTTGAGGAAGGGGCCTAACCTCTGGAATGACTTGTAACAGTAGAAGGAAAGAAAGAAAACCCAAGACGCGGAATTGCTGCCTCAAAGAAAGTATTTTCGGCGATCGATAAAATTTTTTCCCAAAGGTATAACGAGCTCGTCGGATAACTTCTATTTAGGAAATTGTCTATATATATGATACCATGATGCAAATTGAGAGCCCATCATTGTATCAATTACATCATTAAGAAATGCTTATAAAGATGCTCAAAATTCACAGTAAGATAATACAAAAGAAATTTTAACACTCGTGCTCATATTTATAAACTAGCCATTCAACTTATAAAATGGTAAGATTTTTTGATAATTCATTAGGATGCAAGTATAAGTAGTCTATATTTTTCGCCCACGATTACTTTCTTTATCAACTCTCTCAAAAACCTATTGTGTAAAATAAAATTTATTCCGTGACAAATGTTTATATATAAGAATGTTGAAGTATTAATGTTGGTTACTTTCACGAAATATTTTTTGTTCTTTCGATATTGATGGTTTGACGAGAGAAACTTGCGGTGACAATCAAAGTAACTTGGTTTGCGATTAAAGTTGAGCTAAATTGCATATGATTTTTCCATACATATGAGACATCCTATGTTATACTCCCTCCGTCCCATTGGACTTTGCCAACTTTCCTTTATTGGTTGTCCCAATAAACTTTGCTACTTTCTTATTAAAACAACTACTTTGTGGTTCTGCACATTTCTCTCCCCTTTGCACAAATATCAATCACATAGTTTTTACTATTCTTATTTTTCACCTACTTTGCACTTGACAAAGTCCACCGAGACGGGGGTAGTATATAAGTGTTGAAATATTAATGTTGGTTACTTCTACGAAATATTTATTATTTATAGGATTGAAGACCAGCGGTGTTCAATCCAAAAAGCATACCATAGGTAGTGAAGTCAGTTCTTTCATCTCCTCTATAAGGGGTTGAAGATAAATGTTTATCTTTTATCGTAGATCCGATGGATCTGGACAAATTAATGTCAAATACATTGATGGTACCATGGACCGCATCCATGGCCCAAGATTAAATTAAAGCAAAGCCCATCGACGAGATCTACCCATTAATCGGGATTAGTGATGAATAATAGTTGATGGGCCTGATTAGGTGTGACACTTCAAAAATTTAAAAAAAAAATAATAATTTTTAGTCAGATAAAATATTACGAAAATAACATTTTAATTATTAATTGAGTCAGACAAAAATTCAACAGTGTAAAATTCTAAACAGATAAAATTTCAAAATTTATGACGTTTTAGTCAGATAAAAATAGCCCGATAATAGAAGTTATGTTTTAGTATAAAATTAATTTTTATATAACTATTTTAGGTTGTATAATATACAAAGTATAAACTAAATAGTTAAAATACTCATAATACTCCTAACTAACTACATACGTATATTCCTAATAGATATATAACTAGGTAATACTAATTATACTCAAATATATACTAACATTAGTATTAGGAGTATGTTAGTTACGTAATAATAATTACTCCTACATATGTATGTTAGTTACGTAATAATAATTATATAACAATTATACTCCTAATACTCATAAAGGTGCAAAAGAATCAAAATTAAACTCCAACTCCAACTCTAACATCTCAGCCTAAAACCCTCATCTTTCCCTATAAATAATAGGCCAGAACCTACGTTTTCTTCATCCCAAAAAAAAAAAACTACGA